TTTACTGTGGTAGGGATTTAAGTGAAGTTTGTGAAGGTGGGCGTGTTGAATTTGAGATACTTACCCATATAGCCAAATAGAAATGTTCAAGAGGCATTGGGAGCTCAGGAAAAAGATTAAGGCTAGAAGATTCAGCTTGGGAATCATTGAATATGGAAATTGATTGTATTACCTCATATGTATGTAACCTAAGGCTGAAACTTTAACTTTTAAAACAGGTGAAAGAAAAGGAGAGGAGTCAATAATTGAGACTGAGAGCTGCTTAAGAGGCCAGAGAAAAATAAAAGAAATGGTGTCTTAAAAGCCAAAGGATTAATATTTTATGAAAGATGGAAACCTAAAGTAAATTAGAACTGAAAGGCATTTTTTGGTTGTCAAGACCATTAATGACCTTGACAAAAAACAGTTTTAATTTAGTATTGGGAATAGGAGTAAGATTGCAGTGCACTGAAGAGGGACTGGGAATTGAAGAATGGAAGAGACTTAACACAGACCATTCTTCAAAAAGTTTAACAGTTAAAAAAAAAATTGTTTTCTGAATGTGGAGTACTATCACTGAACTGCATACTTCTATTGTATTTTTCTGTTATGTTGCAATGAATTTGTTTAGATGTCTCTTTTAAGTTATGAACTTAATATCAAAGGTTTTTTTCTTGAACCTTTTTAGATCTTTAATGCCTCAGAGTATCTTGTGCATACATTAGGGGTGGAACAAATGATGAATGAATCAACCAGTCAGAGGTATAAAAATGAATAATGTTCTTTCTTGTAAGAAACTTAGAATCTGTTAGGGGAGATCTATACAGATGTCTGTAAGACTGATTCCTTTCTTGTATCCTCCTTTTACACTGGTCTTTTTCTGTACTTCACACTTGCAAAGTCCATTTATGGCTTAGAGCCTTTGTAGTACCTATTCCCTTTGCATTGAATTGTTTTTTCCAAAATATTCCCATGACTAACTCCTTTATTAGCAGGTCTCTGTTCAAACACCACCTTCTTACAGACTTTTTCCTATCTTCCCTCCCCATACTTCAACATTGTCTATTCCATTTAGACACTTTATTATATTTCTCTTAATATAGGTATCATTGTCTGAAATTCATATTTTTAAAATTTGAGTTTTATGAGCTACCACGCTGGGGCAAGTGAGAGCCAGATAGGCACTGGGTGGTGACTGCCTCACTGAGGAAAATAATTAAACATGGACAGAGGAGATCCTTAAGAAGCCAAGAGGCAGATGTCCTCATGTGCTTTCTTTATGCAAACTCACTGGAAGGAGCACAAGAAGCACCGAGATGCTTCAGTCACCTTCTCAAGAGTTTCTAAGAAGTGCTCAGAGAGATGAAGACTATGTCTGCTAAACAGAAAGAAAAATTAGAAGACATGGCAAAGGTGGGCAAGGCCCATTAAGAAAGAGAAATGAAAATTTATATCCCTTCTAAAGGAGAAACGAAAAAAGAAGTTCAAGGATCTCAGTACACCTGAGAGGCCTCCTTCAGCCCTTTTCTTGTTTTGTTCTGAGTATCACCCCAAAATCAAAGGAGAACATCCCAGTCTCCATTGGTGATGTTGCAGAGAAACTGGGAGAGATGTGGAATAACACTGCTGCAGATGACAAGCAACCTCATGAAAAGAAGGCTGTAAAGCTGAAGGAAAAATATAGAGGACATTGCTGCATAGTGAGCTAAAGGAAAGCCTGATGTGGCAAAAAAAAAAAAAAAAAAAAAAAAAAGTCAAAGCTGAGGAAAGCAGGGAAGAGGAGGAAGATGAAAAGAATGAGAAGGAGTAGATCAGTTTTTTTCCCCTGATCTATAAAGCATTTAACGCCTGCTGTACACAACTTTTAAAGAAAAAAAATTGAAATGTAGGGTTGCATAAAAATTTGTTTTTAAACTGTAGATTGTCTTTTTTTTTATATAGTTAACACAATACCAAATGTGTCTTTAGATAGCCCTGTCCTTGTGGTATTTTCACCAGCCACTAACCTTGCCTGGTACAGTATAGGGGTTGTAAATTGACCTAGAAATTTAAAGCAGGTTTGGAGCACCTGGGTGGCTCAGTTAAGTATCCAACTCTTGGTTTTGACTCAGGTCATGATCTCATGTTTCAAGTTCAAGCCCTGCACTGGGCTCTGTGCTAACAGTGTCAAGCCTGCTTGGGATTCTCTCTCTCTCTCTTTTGCTCTCTACCCCTCTCCACTCATGCTCTTACTCTCTCGAAATAAAACTTAAAAGGATATTTAAAGCAGGTTCTTATTGGTACACAGCAGAAACTAGTTATGCATGGGGATGGTAGCTTTTTTCATCTTTAGTTTTCTTTGGTGCAGCTTATAGGAAATAATTGTTTTGTTGATGGAATACCACTCTAAGTTGCAAAAAAAAAAAGTTACAGCTGTTTTGGTGACATTGTAAATAATTGTTTTGTTGATGGAATACCACTCTAATTGCAAAAAAAAGTTAACAGCTGTTTTGTTGACATTGTGAATGCTTCTAGGTAAATATAATTTTTTTAATTAAAAAAAGTAAATAGAATTGGGGTTCTGTTCTATTTTCTTAGTAAGCACCATTAGGATAGTCAGGGATTCTATCTTATTAGCATCGACTAAAATAGGAACCCATGAGTCTATACTGATATAAGTAAGTAAATGAATAAATGAGAAAGGAGGAAAAACTCTTATTTAGGTCAAATGTCAACTGATAATTGTAGAAAGAATGATGATTTGGCAACTATCACAGTGGTAGTTGATTCATTTGTGTGTCATTAACAAAAGCTAACTAAGGCTAGTAGAGGATCTTGGTTTGAAGATACTGGCCTAATCTTGCAATATGTTCCCACAACATGTTAATTAAAAGGGGGAAATTGCAACTTTACAGGGGAGAAAAGTTGAAAACACATGATAAAAGTAACTTCACAGGTGGTGAGATGAGTTGACATGGTGTGTTCTCTCAAGTGGTACACTGAAAAATACAGCATTTTATTTGTGGGATTCCTGTCAAGACAGTAATTACCTAGATTCATTCGTGAAGAAACATTAGACTGAGGCTTGAGATCATCCTACAGAACTTAAGGTCTGTATTTATAAATTTCTGAGGACACAAAACAGAAAGCCTGAGGAAATTTTCTACAATGAAGGAAATTGCAGAGATAATATACCTAAAATATAACGTGTTGCTATATGGGATCCTGGACCAAAAAGGAAAAGGAAACATTTTCACAATAGTTGACGAAATTTGAATGGGGTCTGTGGATTGGATGGCAGTTATATAAATATGGATTTACCAACTTATGTAGATGAGTATCCCTGTTTTGGAGAAATACAGACTGGGATATTTAGAAGTGATGGGGCATCAAGTCTGCAGCCTGCTCTTAAATGGTGCAGGAAAAAACTAATGGTAATGGGTGCGTTGATCAATCTGGGTTACAGAGATATGGAAGACATTGGTACTGTTCTTGAAACTCTGTAAGCTTGAAATTAAAAATTATTTTTTTTAAGTGCATGAGAACTATAGTGAGTATTCAGTAAGTTTGGTAGTAATGGAAAGGAAAGCAAGAGCATAGTAATTTATAGGAAGATAAATTTGTGAAAAACTTGGTCAAAGAGATGGAACTAGAACAGTAGACTTGATATAGGAAGATCTAAGGAGGATGGATAGAATAAATAGATGAAGATGAGATGTGTAAAGAGCACTTTATTTTGGCCTATTTCAAAAGAGAGTTAATTAAGTTCACAATGAGCAGATTCTACTTTCATTGTGAAATACTTCATGTTAGGAAACAGAACTGGGTCCTAGAGGTATGTGATAAAGCCTCGTAATAGGAAAAGAGTGACAAATAGGGACCAGTTAGCTTTAGCCTCCCAAATAAATAGAGGGAGGGTTCATAATATTTTCAGTGTTGCAGATTTAGTACGCATATCTTCTTTTTCCATAATAGTACCTAGTATCTTGGGAGCAGGATTGGAGTAAGTGATAATTACATGGATACAGGTTAGTCATTGGTGGTGTAGGTGGATGAGAGAGTGAGAAAATTGGGCATGTGTTGAAATGATTGACACTGAAGTTTGAGATTATTTGTAAGGGAAATGAAACAGGTCTGTAGTAGATTGGTAGGAAAGAAAATCAATGGCATCTTTTTTAAAAAAACATTGAACTACATTTAAATTATAAGCAAATTTTAGCTGCCTGAAGAGCAAGGTACTTTTTAGCTTGAATAAGAAAATGATACTGTAGTATACATGACAATATACGTGATGTTTTTAACATTTAATTCTGTTCTAAAGACATCAAGAGTGAAATCTGATTCAAATCTGTGTAGTAGTAGCAAGAAAAATTAGAATTCTCTTGATTTCTGCCAAGGAATGCTAGATTTTCCAAGATATTATAGGTTTAAATATCACATAATTTCTTTTTTTATTTCAAAGTAGTAATGTTTGGTTGGTCTGCACAGTTGATGCTCCTCTTAGCACGGAAAAGTTTATAGATCTACTTTTTCCTTTTAAGATAATCTGTGTAGATGTAACCTGCTGTACTGTTTCCAAATGTGTGTGGTTTTCTGCTTGCAGAAGTCAATCATTCTTTGGCATTTACTGTTCCAACATGTAAAGGACTTTCTTCATCACTGACTAGTTCACATAATTGTCACTTCCAATCTTCTAGCTTTTAGTGTAAGTAAATACATAAATACAAATTCAGTTAAGCCTTTAAAAGTTGCCTTAAAAAAGCCTTTAAAATTTAAATTTTGGGAGTGCAGACTTTAGGTTCTGCTTTAGTTTCTGCATAGCATTTAAGTGATTCAGAGCCCTGTTACTGATTGTTTCATAAAGTTTTCATAACATTAATAGGACATTTTTTTCTAGATTTTGAGAGTTTTAATACCCAAGTCCATGACAAAGTGGAAAGCCATGTCACAGAGACCTGTGGAGTACCAGAATACCAAAGTCAGATGCGTACCTAACATTGCCTAGGCTTCATTAATGGAGAATGTCGATATTTTTATTTATCTGAACTTTACCTCTCAAACTTTTTATTTTCATGAAACTTCGAAATTTCCAAGGGGGATTCACAAAATAGAATTTTGTTGTTGTTAGGAATTACCTACAGTGTAAGAGATCCAGTTTCATGTTGGAAGGAGAGGTCTTTGCTGCCATTATCTCCATAGTCTTAAGAAAAAGAGAGAAACAGAAAGAAAGAAACAGTGATTCCTAGGTAAAGTCTGACTCTGTTTTCTTCCTCTATCCTAAGCTACAGAGCATATTGATTATTTTAAAGGCACATGGCTTTATTGTGAATATGGCTTCCGTGGTGTGGCAGTGGAATATACAAATTAATAGGGTATTTCAAACTAAGTCCTGTGTTCAGGCAAATCTGTTTTCTTTAAGTCCCATTCTTTCTTACCAGGCCTTTTCATAAATAACATCTACACTGCTGTTTTTCCAAATAAAGATAAGTTATTGTTGTTGTTTTGTTTTTTCTTTGGCTTTATCTTTGCATTGACAGTGATGTCTAAAAAAGTCACTGAAAATTTGGTGTCACATCTTATTTGAGGATTTAAATAAGTGAAGCTACACATTCTTATTGTAATTTTTTTCAGATTTTTTGAATGCTAGGTTTGACATAAACACAAATGACAACATATTAATGAGCACACTTTTCACAGTAATTATGACAATTTAACATTATTGAAGAGTGAAAGTAGTGATACACTGCTGTCTTATGTTTGCTTGTCATTAAACACTAGCTTAATATTTAAATTTGACTCAAAAATGAATTCCAAAAAAAGCAATTTCTATTTTGCACCTAGCTCATAGTTTCTTAGAGTTTATTGTGGCTAAAAATATTGTGGTAACCAAGTCTTGTCTGCTTAAAATTCTGCAGTAGCTACCTCACTGGGTTAAATCCAAACTCCTTAACAGGTATTTAAAACCGTCTATTATCTTACTCAGATAAAACCTTTCCAGCTGTTTCTTGTTTCCACTTCTACTTTGTACTCCCAGCTTTTCTCACTTTGGCAATCCCCTGTCCTAAGAACAACATCTAGATGTTATTGAAAAGAAATGACTACTCTGTTTTCCCCTAGGCATTGGAGCTTTGCTAAAAAAACTGTTAGTTGAAGTTTTTCTAAAATCATGCTATCTAATTTTAGCAGGACATTCCCCTTTTGCTTACAGAGTTTTTCCTTTTTTCTTACTGCTCTTCTTCCACTTTATTTTCCAAGCTTTGTTCACTTTTTTTTTCTGGTTCCTTATTTTGTTTCTCCCTTTCCCCATTTTAGGAAATAATCCTCAGATAATTGTATTGTTGCCGAGGTTAAGAATCATCTAATTTCTTTCCAGTTTACTTTAAATTTGCTATTTCTACCATACCTCTTTCTTCTTCATACATCTTAGAAACCTGTGTAATCCTCATAGCCAAAGCCAACCACGATGACTATGTTGTTCATCTGTTCCTTTCACCATTACATAACATTGGTCTTATTTTAATGTCCTTAACACTTTTTTAACATTTTAAGGCTGTAGTGCCCTACTCTTTGGTTTATTATTGACCCAACTAACATTTGAGGTAGGCTTGGGGAAGGAAAGTTTTTCTAATTCTGCTCTACGTTTTGTTTTTTTTTTTTTTGTTTTGTTTTGTTTTTAATAAGAATAATCAGTTTTTAATTTATCCTTCCACATTCAATTTAAACATGTGTATAGTGGTTTTAGAAATGTTTTCCCAGGGGCGCCAGGGTGGCTCAATCAGTCAAGTGTCTGACTTTTGCTCAGGTCGTGATCTCATGGTTTGTGGGTTTGAGCCCTGCATTGGGGCTCTCTGCTTGTCAGTACAGAGCCCGCTTTGGATCCTCTGTCCCCCCACACCCACACCTTCCCCCCTCTCAAAAATAAACATTTAAATATAAAACTGTTTTAATTTAATTTAATTTAAATTTAATTTTTCTTGTGCAGTCCTTTTCAGTCGATTTACGTGTATTTATGTTTCTGATAGCCATTTTAAAAGAACTTGGGTGAATTTGTCAGGTCATCTTTAGTTTTACATTCCCATAAAAATAAATAAATGATCACAAGTAATGATGCATGAAATAGAAATTGTTTAAGGATGCTTTAGAGTTCTGTTTGAAATTCTGCCAGGAGTTCCGGGGAGTAGGGGTGAGGATGGGACAGCACACTATTGTATAGGTCATGGAAGAGGATAGTAAAGAGAGATTTCCCTAAAAGGTCAAAGATTTCTCTCCTGCAACCAAATGGAAGAAAAGAGGTCAATTGGAATAAAACACACTTGGGGAAAATGTGCATAATGTTGTTTTATTTTAGTACTTGTCTATACAGAGCAAAATTATTAAAATATTAAATTGGTGATATTACTAATAATGAAGTCAATATGAATATAATGGGACTTTTTGTTCTTTTAGTTGGTGAAAAGTCACTGAACGCTGACTTTCAGGTTGCTACTATTTTCATTAAAAACTGGCATTTTGGTCAAAAAGGTGTTTGGTTTTTGTTTTTCCCTCTTTGTTAACATGAAAATATGTGAAACATCCTCTATAGTAGAATGTAAAGCAAACTTTTATTGAAATACATAAGAACAAAATGATTTCTATCAGTATTATGAAGCACAATGAGATGTCATGATTTTACTTTTTCATATATTCTACCAGTATTAACATAAAATTTTACTTTTGTTGTGAGTTTAGGTCAGAGCCAAATATTACCTTAATTTTTAGAAGATAAAGTGAATAAATTGACTTAATTTGTGGAGTTAAAAGAGTTGAATAAGTAAGTTTAAGAGTTGAATAAATGCTTTATTGCCGTTTTTTATTCAGCTCACGCTTAGTGCAATTCCCATGTGCCAAGTGGTATGTAGACCACCTTTCTGGAAGTCATAGTCTACTACCATTCCTTCTTCTCTTTTCACTGATAGCAGAGATACAATCTTCTTTCCTTTAATTCCCCAAACAGCTCTGTATTCTATCTCTTTTGAGCTTTCTCTGCTATCATCTGTTTTATCACTTCTCTCTCCTGCCTGTACTGTTTTAACAACTTTCACCTGGCCTCCGATTGTTTATCCTAATTCACACTGATGCCAACAGGATCTTTGCTGTTGTTATTAAGCAACAGCTTAATAATCTTAAGTGATCCCCTTTAGAAAACATATTTCATAGTATACCATAAAAGGTCCTTTACAGTTTTTCCCTAACTTCATCCTTATGCCTTTACCTCACACTCTAAGTTAGCGTACAGACTAACTTGGAGTTCTTACATTGACATTTTCATGCCTTTGATCAAACTTTTCTCTCTTGTTGCCATATAGAATGTTTCTGTTTTTTTAAAGTAGTAAGAGTATTGCTAAAGTAGGGGCACCTGGGTGGCTCAATCATTTAAGCATCCAACTCTTGATATCGGCTCAGGCCATGATCTCATGGTTGTGAGATCGAGCCCCAAGTTGGGCGCTCTCTCTCTCTCTCTCTCTCTCTCTCTCTCTCTCTCTCTCTCTCTCGTCCCCTCTCCCCCCACGCCAAATAAATAAAGAAACCTAAAAAGAATATCGCCAAAGTAAAAATAAGAATACTACTACCAACAGAAGCAGTGGTAATAGTCTTACTGTGTACCAGGTACTCCATCCTCACTTACTTATTTAGTTTTTGCAACAGTGCGATGATATGCGTAAAGAAAAGAAAACTTAGGCATAGGAAACCTGTAACTTACCCAAGGTTAAAGATATAGAAAGTGGACATACCAGGTCATGAACTAAGATGTTTGACTCTGGAGTCTGTGTGCAAAGCTTACTACATTACGTTGTGTCTTCATGCAGAACGCTCTGTCCAGGCATCACTGCTTCTGGATTCTTTTCCAGATCCTATTTCTTCACCTCTTAGGAAAAACACCCTGTTCCCTTGTTTGAATCTCTTCTGATCAACCGTATAGCACTTCAGACATGTTACTGCATTTACACTCTTTTGCCTTGCTTCTTAAGGACAGGAATCCTGTGTCTTTGTATCTCTAGTGTTTGGCACATACTTAATCTTCAGGCAAATGAATAAATGAGTGCATGAATCACTGAATTTTAAAAGTAGAAGGAACCTTAGGAATCATCCAATTTAACCACCTTGTTTTATAGATAAAGAGCCTGAGATAAGTGAATGGGATAAAAATACCAGATTTTAATGTAGATAATTTACCAAAGTTAAATTTTATCACTAGTCTTTAGTGGTTGGTTACCCACTTAATTTGCTTCAAAGCTCAGAAGAATGTGAGTTAATTGAGAGTATTGTAGGTAGTGTTGGCCGACTCTGGTTTAGGATATAGCATTTAAAATGTTTGTTAGGGCACCTTGGTGGCTCAGTGGGTTGAGTGTCAGATTCTTGATTTCAGCTCAGGTCATGATCTCAATGGTTGTGAGATCAGCACTAACAGTGCGGAGCCTGTTTGGGATATATTCATTCATTCCCTCTCTCTCTCTCCCCCCTCCCCGCCTCCCCCCCTCCCTCTCTATCTCCCTCTCTCCCTCCCTCTCTCTCTCTCTCCCCCTCCCTCCCTCCCTTCCTCTTTCCCCCAAACCCCTGCTCGATCTCCCTCTTTTTCTCTCTCTCTCAATAAATATTTACTTAAAACAAATGTTCTGTTAATACTGTGTTTGTGGTCATTTATATGTCCTATCAGTATGAAGGTGATAATACATCTGTACATTTGCTTTTGTGGATCTTCTAACTACTTTCTAATGTCAGATATAAGGAGGGTTTTTTTTTTTAAGAATTAGATTGGATGGTTGTAACATGCCACCTCTGAAACTTATTGATAAGTTTGAATTTGGGAAATGGATAAGGCTAATGACAATATTCTCCACTTTTTTGTGTATTTAAAACTTTCAAATAATGGAAAATAAGAGGAAATAGAGGTTGGTAAAAAAAGTATAAATTTACAGCTATAAAATGAATTAAGGAAACTAAGAAAAAAAATAATAAAGCCTAGAAGTTCTAATCTCTGGTTTTGATTATGTGAAATTGAAATGTCTATTTGTAAATATAGATATTCCTGGAAATGTGTATCTTTTACAGTTTCTTTCTGAGCTTATACTAGTATAGCAGAATGTGTAATTTATGTATTTTTATTGACTTCATGGGAGATAAAATGAAATTTGTTTTGTTAACTAACAAGTCAGCTTTGGT